ATTTTAAAATGGCTATTGTTTAAAGAAAACGTCAATGTCTATTTCTAATAATTCTTTGTATGCTGAAAATTCATTTATCTATTTTCTATGTCTACAAAGCATATTGGAGTCAGCGGGTACTACCATGCTTACATGAAGAATTCAATTTTAGTAATTTAAGCAGTCTTGTTTTCTTTTACCAAAGAAAATGTTTTAAAGAGTCTATACTAGAATTGTATGAAGTGAATGTAAGAGAAATCGCACAAATTTGCATGGTATGTATATAAATATTATGTAAAATCTTCAACTTGTGTGTGATAAACACTTGTTGAACCAAATAAGACACATGTTTATTGAAAGCCCTCAATATAGTTGTTCATGCAGGGTCTTTTAACCGGCATCCCAGAGCACCTGAAAATACCTCGGTTTTTTGTTGTTCATTCTTTAGTTTTCTATGTAGTGTTATTAAGACTTTTGGCCGTCTGTTTGGCTATGTTGTTTTTCGTTGACTAATGCATTTGTATTGTCTCTTGTTATCTTCTGTCTCTTTTTTTATATAAATATTCTATTTGCATGTAATTCATGCATTCACAATCTATATGAGCAGATTTGTAATACTCAGAGTGTCGGTTAACAACTATAACAAAACAGTAAAAAATAAACCTGGTAGTATTCAAAAATTAATATTAAATTAATTGTCAAAGTATTTGCAACTTTAGCAAAATGTTTACTTCAATTTACGAATTTTCACGATGAATAAAAACTGATAAACGCAGGAAGCACTTTTCTGACAGTTGGTAACTAATTAACCTAAAAACTATAAAAAGTAAGTTAATGTTTAGGAATTATTGTGATTCCCGATAAATTTTTTTTTTGGAAAAATGGGGTATATTGTCGCGTGATATGACTCAAAATCCCTTAACGCACTGCATAAGCCCCCAAGGCAAAGGATCAGTGCGTGTAATGTTAAAAAAATATAAGTAATTTATTTAGATGTATTAGTTAATAATTTCCAATAAACAATAAACAATAAACAAAGGCCGTACGGTTGCCTATAATTGCTTACATCCACTTCATTTGAACTTTGGTGGATAGTTGTCTCATTGGCAATCATACCACATCTCCTTATTTTTATATTGACAAGGGCTCTCCAGCAGAGACAACATTGTTCATACTGAGTAACACACGCTTGGTAATGTAACTTCAGATTATGATTTAATACATTAATTCTAACTTAAATGTTCTATTGAAATTTAAAGTAATACGTCATAGAAAACTTCAAAACATGAAAAGACATTTAATGGAAATATATTTACAGAACATGTCGACATTTGACTGCAAAATGTGCAATTTCATATTTTAAATCGTCCTTCTCAAAGGACAAAGAAAAACGATAATTTTAGACTCTATATTTCATGGTCAGGTTGAAGAATCAAATATTGACACAGCATATACGTCATAACAAAAGGTCAATAAACAGAGCCTATGACGAAGCTCCACATATAACCCAAGTTCATCGTCCTTCATATGTAACCTTGTTCTTCGTATAGTTCATTTTCGAAAACGTTCAAAATGGAAGCCGTTTATTTCGGCTGCTAAATAAACAAAGAGATATAAATATTTAGCAATTGCAAAAGAAGTCTGCCACCCGCAAAATTTACATTTCATTTCAGTAAAAAACTATAATAGTAATAATAACAAAAAAAATATCAACATCAACAGAAATTATCTGCAATTATTTCGACAGGCAAACTCAACTCCCACTTTTGAGGAAAATTTCTCCCTTGTGATTATTATTGGATTGTTAATCCAATAAACATTGGCTAATCCAAGGCATTGTTTGTCAACACTACATAATATAGAATCCCAACACTATCTGATAAATTTTTGTCAAGTCTGCGACTTTTGTCGCAGAAAGCTCGACATAGGGATAGGGATCCAGCGGCGGCGCTAACTAACTACTTAAATGCTTTATATTTTAGAAGGTGGAAGACCTGGATGCTTCAAATCATACTTTGTATAAAGATGCCTTATGTTATGAAGTTTCCGTCTGTCATTTGTCTATTGTCCTTGACCTCATTTTCATGGTTCGGTGACTACTTGACAAAAAGTTAAGATTTTTTGTAATCTCAATTTCTCTCTTATTATGAGTAATAGGATAACTATATTTAGTATGTGCGTACCTTGCAAGGTCCTCATGCCTGTCAGACAGTTTTCATCTGACCTCGATCTCATTTCATGGATCAGTGAACAAGGTTAAGTTTTCGTGGTCGTCCATATCTCAGATACTATAAGCAATATGTCTACTATATTTGGTGTATGAAATGATTGTAAGATCATGGTACATGTCCAACTGGCAGGTATCATCTGACCTTGACCTCATTTTCATGGTTCAGTGGTTAAAGTTAAGTTTTTGTGTTTTTGGTCTAAAACTATATGCAATAGGTCAACTGAATAGACAACTTTCGAGTTCGATGCATTTCCGTCAAAAACTCTGGTTTTAGTGAACATCCTTCGTGCGTTAAGGGGCATCGTCACTTCCGTTCCAATGTTGAGCAAGTGGTTGGAAAACTATAATGCTATATTGCACGAGTTATTCGGCAAATTAAATTCTCATAATTGACAATCAGCACTACTGTCATTAGGGAATTGTGATTAAGTACTTACAAAACAAATATTATTTCTAGTTTATCCTGCACAATGACGATCACTAAGACGCTTGATGAACGTTAATAGTGCAGGGATACAGGCGATCCCCTCTATCTGGTAAATGACGTCATAAAGGCGCGCATAATTGACGAGTTTTTTCCGGTGAAGGATGAACTCGAAAGTGGTCTATTATATTTGGTGTATGGAAATATTTTACGATGTATATGACAGTCTGGCAGGTTTTATTTGACCTTGACCTCATTTTCACGGTTCATTGCTCAGTGTTAAGTTTTTATGTTTTGGTCTGTTTTTCTTTAACTATAAGAAATAGGTCAACTATATTTGGTGTATGGAATGATTGTAGTGTGTATATGTCTGTCTAGCAGGTATCCTCTAACCTTGACCTCATTTTCATGGTTCATTGGTCAATGTTAAGTTTTCATGGTTAAGTTTGTTTCTTAGATACTATGAGCAATATATCAACTATATTTAATGCATAGATTGATTGCAAGGTGTACATGTTTGTCTGGCAGGATTTATTTGACCTTGACCTCATTTTCATGGTTCATTGGTTAATATTAAGTTTTCGTTCGTTTCTAAGAAACTATAAGCAATAGGTCAACTATATTGTAGTGTATGGAATGATTGTAAGGTGTACATGTATTTCCGATTTGATTAATCTGACCTTGACCTCATTTTCTTGGATCATGTGATACTTGTATAGGATTTAATAAACATTTATTATTTAACTACAATGGATGGGATAAATATAAGGCTCAGCTTCATTATGATCATAAAATCCGGCAAACATATCATCAATGACATGCATAGGACTGCATAGTGTGAAAGTCTGTTGTCTCTCTCAGAGAAGCTTATATAGCAGCATACATTTTACAGGAAAATTCAGAAAGGAACTCTTTTAGTTCCGGCAAAATAAATAGCTTTAAAGTCTCAATATTTACTTCTTTATAAAATCAAAACTACATTCGTACTTCATTTGGCCTTTTTAACTTTTTTTTTATTCGAGCGTCGCTGATGAGTCTTTTGTAGAGGAAACGCGCGTCTTGCATACAAATTTTTAAGCCTGGTATCGATGATGAGTTTATCTACAATTAATGTGAGACTTTAGTTTTTATGTAATATGCCATTTATCGTTAAGCTTAATATCATAATACATTAATTGTATATACTATTTTGTTTATGTCAACTATCCAGGAGCAAGTCAATAGTATAGTATTATATTACACTAATATGGGAGATAAATAATAATCAGCGAGCAACATATCATATCGCATGAACTACCCGGCTTCAACTGGTATGTAATATCAGGAGTTTTCAAATCCAAATCTTCAACGTTATTTTAAGACCATCAAGATAAATAAGGTATTGAAACTAAACAGCCAAAATGGTTAACTGCAGAAGGTCAACTTTGCCTTTTATATAGGGAGTTTTTAGCTCACTCTTAATTAATAGTGTAATACTTATTTCATTTATGATAGCTGAAAAGTCATATCTTGCCTACTGGACGGATGGTATGTACCATTTGAACACAGCGGTACTGATCCAGTTGTAGCCAGTAAAGTAAACACATGACACTGAACATCATTTTATCTACCAAAAACGAATAAGGGTCGTAATTTTCAAGGAATAGAATAATACACTACTAATTAATACCTTGAATCAGTATATAAATCTTTGCTTGAATGTAAATTGGCTTCATAATAAATTAAGATAGACATTAGCTGTTCAAAACTGTACAGTCAGGAAAGTTATTATCAATTTCTAAAGATAAATTTTGCCTATATTCGCAAAATAATGATGCTCATCTAAATGATAAAAATAAAATTGTTTGATTTATATTTTTCTAAAAACAAGAAAGATGGTACCTTAAATTCCTTATAATTGAATTTCTTCCGGAAAACGATTTTGCAAACATTTGTATTGCATTTATTCTTAACACCGAATAATTATTCAGAATAGTCCGCTTGTCAAAGTCATTTCGCAAAATAAATGAATAAATAAAATAGCATTGATAACTAAATATTCCTGTATACCATTTTGTTCTATTGCACAATCCAGAGACACTGCACAATCTAAGATTGGTCGACAAACTGAACTATATATATGTCAAATATATGAAATAAAACTGACTTGAACTAGATTACAGACATTTAACTGTGACGAATAAATTATGACAAAAAAATGTAATTTATCTATAATTAGCGTTGTTCAAATTTTGTTACACCACATCATATTTTATAATAAATATTTGTGATTCACAACCAGCTAAGACCACTTTGTTCAATACGTCATTCGGAAAAGCTACCTTAGCAACAAAGGATACGAAACTATCGTTCAAAGAAAACCGGTCAATATCTAACCAGATTTACGTCAGCGCTTACGTCACAGACCCGGTCTCGCACTTATTACCGCCATGCGAGTTACAGAAGGATTGTACAAGATTTATGAAACACAGGATAACATTTCGAATGCATACGAAAATCACAAGGAATTTAAAAATAAAACTTAAAAGATGGTCATGGCGGAGAGACCCAAGGGACAAATACGGGTGGGGTTTTATGACATCGAGAAAACGATAGGAAAAGGAAACTTCGCTGTTGTGAAACTAGGAAGACACAGGATAACAAAAAGTGAGGTGAGTTTTCTAATCAGCAGAGTAAAGCAAAGTAGAAGAATGCATAAAACAATTCAAACAAAAACGATTGCATGACAATGTATTTTGCAAACAAATTGGGGTAAAGTTAGCAGAGATGCCATTATTTCTGCCAACTGCTGACACAGAGAAGTTGTGACGTCACTAATGTCAAAGCTGGTAGAGAAACTTTTCTTGATTTAAACCTAATAAATCTCAATTATTCCACAACAAAACTAGAATTTATGATGTTGACTTACAATTCTTGAAAAAGCCTAAAAATAATGTAAACAAACATTACATAAGATGATTTATTTGTGATTACAAGAGAACTTGCGAAATCTTTGAACACTGTTGAATTGTCAAATATCCTGTAATATCACTAGTATCCCGCAGTTTGATAAACTAATTTGATTAAAAGTGTAGTTGGTATTCATCATGTTTTGTTGAGGTGCAAATAAAGTTCGACTTGTCTAAAAATCTTTTTAACTGTACATTTTGTACATGTTGAACTTATGTACATGTATAGATCGCGTTTGAGTTATTTTTGTGAATTAAGTATGCTGGTTGGCCAGAGGTCAATCGACATAAATGACATCATTGTGACATCTGAAATGTACTGGTAAACGCCAAATATGTAAGTCTCTTATCAAGACGTACATGTATTCAAAATTACAAATGTATAATTTTCATATTTACATATACATGTACTTAACCAATCACTTACATTTGAAATTGTATCATACAGTTTCTTTCATTGAAATAGGAAACAGTTAACTGGACAAACTTTTTAGTTGCCCTGGTCATTCGAACAAAAGCTAAAAGTCGACTGTCAACAGTTACCTGGAGCTTTAACCCTTTGACGCAATGTTTGTAGAATGATCCTGGTGTCTAACACAGTTTATCTTTTTCATTGTGCTAAAAATTTCAGAAAATGAATATCAAACTACTAATGTTGGTCGTCAGAACTGTTATGACGTTATACCAGTATTTGTTTGAATATAAAGGATCCTAAAATATATGTTTTAATTCATATTTATGTACATGTCGTACAAGTTCATGATTTAAAACCTTTTCTTTTCATTACCAAAAATGATGGACTTCATGAAATGTCAAATGAAATACTCTTTATCATGCATCTGAAGCTAATTTTCCCAATAACAATAATGTGACTTACAAATTTCCAGTATTGGCCTGCTGGCACTAATGACTGATGAAACACTGTCATGACCAGAGCCTACTGCTGAATAGCACAGCAAAATAGGCATGAAATAGATAACTCCCTGTCAGAGTCACATGGGCTGCTTTCTAGTTATTTTCAACAGAGCATTTAGCAGCCATGGCATGGGCTACTGCTAATTTGGATCCCTGTGTTATGTACATGTACCAAGGTGTTCCTCATATAGTTGTCTTATTGTAATAATTGATTCTGGGTACACTGTATCTTTATAGTGAATATCTATTACCTTTATGTATGCAATTTTTTCCATTGAGGATTGAACTTTTCACTGATGTTTTGGAGCTACCAAGTGTCTTTAAATCTCAATCATCTTGATTCATTGCAGAATCACCCCCTGAGCCTGAGGACGTGGAGTCTTGTTTTAATTTTCTGTTGTGTTGTAAATGATTTTACCAAAGATCTAGATTTCATGTGTCGCAACTTTCAAGTTTCGAACAAGTAGGGGTAATGTTTGTTTGCATGGACACTTTGTATATTTTATTTATTACATTTTGCTCTTTTTAACTTTTCCATATTAAAGTAATCAAAACAGTTTTGATGATGCAACACCCATTGCCAAAATACATATACATTTGTACATGCATTGCAATGATGTAGTCATGTACATTTTTTGTGTCAGAAAGAATAGTGCATTTTATTGTTAAAAAATGTACAATTACAGACTACTGAAGGGAATTTGGCATAACAAAAATGCAGACAAAAGTAATGTTATATAATGTTATGTTTTCATCACAGTATCAGTCACACTTTCTTCCATCTACATGATCTAAATGAAAATATTGTATACCGTACATGTAGTAGAGAAAGACTAGTACATGTACATTATGTATTGATGTTATTGCAGTTGGAACAAGAACTACTGCTTTATGGTGCAAGACAGTATTCCTCAAATGAACAAATATGTTTTTATGTCTACTTTAGTTCCTACTAGTAGTACTACGTGTATTTGACCAGGAAGTAGTCACAACTTTTAAAATCAATAAATTATTTAATGTATTTAATGGAACATTTGATAAGCTCACTACATGTATGGTCAAATTTTTGTAATTTTGATTTTAACTGTTCCTGTTCAAAGAAATATGGTTAAAAGCCATGAAATCTGCTGATACATTTAAATGCAACAATTGAATTTTTTCAAGATAAGTCGTAATGTAGATTTAAAATGGTTATGTAGATGTAGATTAAAAAATAATTCCTATGGAGAAGGAGCTAAATATTGTCTGCTGTGTTTTTTTTGTTTTTTTTTGTTTTTACTTGGTATACATGTATGTACAAATGAACATGTATATGAAATAACAAATTGCAAGCAATTAATGTAAGGTCATATAAAATTAATCTTTTTATTCTCTAATCGTGCTAACGTGCTAATCCTTAAAAAGTCAGGGATTTTATAAGCTACATGTATTTTCATTTTTTCTTGTAAATATGATTGATTGATTGTTGTTTTCAAGAAATAATTGAGTTTGGTTTTTCTACTTGTACCTATGATTTTTAGTTGGTACATGTACAATTATCCATTTTAGTGGGATTTTTGGACAATCATAATTAACATGATATATATATACCTACATGTATGCAAAAGTCAAGGTATTAAAACTTATTTTTTCCACAAAATTACATAGTTTAGTAAACACACCAGTGTTCTTCCCAGTACTTTGATAAAGCAATGTGTCCTAAAATTATAGGACCACATTTATAATACAAACTATTATAAAATCAATTTTGATAGATCCCTGGAAAATGTATAGCACCATGGTCCATGTGAAGAGGTACCATGGTGATAAAACACTTCGATGTACATTTTGTACATGTATGTAAGACTTCATATAGTATTTATACCAAATACATGTACATTGTATATTTACATGTGTAATGGCAACAACCAGTTGAATGTTTTAACCACAATTGGGTCTCGGCTTCAAGAAGTACAAATGTATCTGTACCTTGTCTGAGTACAAGTGAAAGAAAATATATACATGTACAATGTATGTCATGTAATACATGTATATAACATACCGTTATCATGCTTGAACTCTTGAGGTGTAATTTTGTCAATTGATGAATGTGATATAGTACAAAAACCGATGTTGTAGGTTGTTTGTGGACATAAGTATTTGACAGGTGTATGTTAGTACTTTAAAGACAGTTAATTGATTGGTTGTAATATTAATGAAGGAATACAATGTATGTAAAGAATTAATAAACATCTGTGGTTGTCAGTAACGGAAGAAACAAAGTACTTTATATATGTCTATAGAATTAATGAAGGAAACTGACTTGCATTTTTTAATATTGATATTTATTAGTTAAAAAAAAATGTTTTTAAGGAAACGTTAATTGTGCAAATTTACTAGTTATGCCCCACTCAGGGGCATTATGTTTTTCAGTATGTCGGTCCGTCCGTCTGTCCCACTTCAGGTTAAAGTTTTTGGTCAAGGTAGTTTTTGATGAAGTTGAAGTCTCATCAACGTGAAACTAAGTACACATGCTCCCTATGATATGATCTTTCTAATTTTAATTCCAAATTAGAGTTTTGACCCCAATTTCATGATCCATTGAACATAGAAAATGATAGTGCGAGTGGGGCATCCGTGTACTGTGGACACATTCTTGTTTTAGTATGAATTTGACCAATTGAATAAAATGACCTCAAGTCCTATAAAAATGACCTTAGTTGTTTGAAAAAATTTTCCAGATCCTTGTTTGATACCTTAATGATTTTATTCTAAATTCAATCAAAAAGTTTTCTGTTGAAAATCATCTTATTTTAACCAGATGTACTTTACAATGAGCTATTGAATCTAAAAAAATAATACCAGTAAGCGTTGATACAGATTTAGCATTTTTCCTGAATTAGCAGCTGGGCCAGTGGTTGTATGTAGCCCAGGACAAGTAACAAAACAAATGAGAAGAATTTTCTGGTTCCTACCTGGACTAGGAAAGAAATTTTCGTTAGCCCATACTGAAATTAGGGACTTGGTCTCTGGTAATTTGCATCCTTGATAGATATACATTTACATGTTGAAAAACCATTGCATATGACCTTTGATAGAAGGTTCTTACTGTAATCTTCATTAATTTAGCAGAATTAATGACTTGCTAGCAAGCATCAGTCTTTCAGTGTGTATATATAATTTATATGTATTATATTCCTACACTATACTTTAAATTTCAGGTTGCCATCAAGATTATAGATAAAACACAATTAAATGAAGATAACTTAACCAAAGTGTACAGGGAAGTCCAGATCCTGAAAATGGTCAATCACCAAAATATCATCAAACTCTATCAGGTAAGGTCATCTTCCAATAAAGTATTTCCTCTCATGTTTTGTAGTAGAATAGATGCATGTTCCCTGTACATTTTTTTTGGGGGGTGGGGGGTTCCATTATATTGCAGACAGTATTTTTTATCTTTATATTTTATAAATTATCAACCATAAAAAATACATCCATCATGGTATTGTAACTCTTGTGTCATATCTATTTTTCCTTTAGGATACTTGGTACATTACTATTTTCAGTTACAATGTACATGTATGCAGATGTTGTATTTGGTATCAGGTTATGGGTCAATGACATATGTCATCTGAACATAAATCTCAGTACCAGCCTTTTACATTAAATTTGATAGTTGTATAATGTTATTTCCTTTTATGTAGATGTACATACAGTTGGAATTTCTTGTCTCTATGTTATTCAAAATGTACCTCATTTAGAATTTTAAATTGCTCAAGGTGGGGCCTTTTATTTGGCTGTGCAAGGTGTATTTTTTCGTGGGATTATCAGGTCAGAATGGGAAACTTAAACCTGATGTCTCATGTAGGATGTGTGCCACGCTCTTTGCAAATTAGTTTACCCTTGCAACAACTCTTTCCAACATATCCTTATTTTCCAGTCCCACCCTCAAACATGTATTCCTGGTCGTGCCACCTTGCTGAACCTATACAAAAATGTACCTATTGGAATAATTGTTAATTTGTTCCTGTATTGATCATAAATATGCATGAAATAATTGCAACAAGAAGTTAAGCAAACAACAATGAAGCAATCTACCCAGAAGCAACAGGTATTACTTACAAATGTAGTTGACAGTATTATTTTACTTATATTCTATCCAAATAAGTTTCTTAGAATGTTTTTATTTTAGTTGTTTAGCATTATAATTTGGGAAAATAAAAGCTTAAAAACTTATGATGTGTAAGGATGTTGGAATTATTTTTTTTAACTTGTGACAGTTATAGACTCACTGCATAATACAAAAATGTATGTACATGTATCTTAGACTTACAGGGATGCACCAGTTGACTGCAAAATATCCACATATATATATAGGTTTCACTGGTATATTATCATGATTATAAACAAGTATCTTGCATTTGATATACTGTTACATTGTACTGCCTAACATTGGCTGCACCTGCATTGTTCAGGAATATATGAAAGTTATACATGTTGTGTCAGTGTTGCTATTTTAAGATGTGTATACTAGAAGATTCAAAATATGTTGTAGTTTGAACAAGAAAGATTTGTTGAGAATTTCTAAATTTTGTTTCTGTATGCAGGTTATGGAAACAAAGAACATGTTGTATTTAGTATCAGAATATGCTCCAAATGGAGAAATATTTGGTAGGTACCATAAGCTTTACAACTAAGGCCAGACTTAAAAATATTTGCTTGTCATAGCAGACTGAGCCAAGGCGTCGTCAGTTTTTTCGTTTTTTTTTACATTTTTAAAGAAGTTGAAAGCTACAAAAATGTACATGTACAAATCAGAGAAACATTCGTTTGAGTTATTGAAAGGCTTATAAATTTGGGGTCAGGAAGTTATATTAGTGGTCCAGTTGTCACTCTGGCTATGGCAAGCAATCTTAAATTGAATTATACAGAGTATATACATATATTGAGATCTTTAATTTGTTAAAGTTTCAATATATCTGATCATATATATATTGTCATTGCAAACTATTTGTGTTAAAGAAAAATGGAAAAAATAAAGTTGTATAGATCTACAAGGATAGACATCCAAGACCATTTTAGTCTGCACAGTAACACCAATCATATCATGTTAAAAGTGTTTAAACTTAACTTTTGCATTTATGACATCATACAGTACAATGAATATTATCAGTGTTTTTCTTATGCATTTCTGTCAATTGCAGAAGTTATCATTGCAAACTTCCTTATAAATGCAAGTCTTTCCAGAAAGTTTTAAAATTTAGTCTACTAATTGAAAAAATTAGTAATGCCATCATTGTGCCACTGTAATGATATAAAATGAAATTCACTGATCCAGACATTTGTAAAAAGTAAAATGCTTTATTAAAGGACCAGTAAGAGCTATGGAATTGTTCATTTAAGAAACATTTGAATGTCTGAACTTTTTCTACATCATATAAAGATAATTTATAAAACAGTCTTTGCACATTACAATTTTCTAATAAAATTAATTACTTCTGAAAATATCTTTAGAATATTGATAATTACATCGGAGCTTATATTGTGATTTATTTTCCATCTTTAAATGATTTTTAATTGTATTTCCAGATTTTATAGCACAGCATGGTCGTTTGTCTGAAAGGGATGCCAGGAAGAAATTCTGGCAGATCATACTGGCTGTTGACTATTGTCACACGAGACATGTTGTACATAGAGATCTAAAGGTTAGTTATATGATGTATGGATAATATAATCAAGTACACCAATTAATTGACACATTCTCGTCTGAAATTTAGTCACCATTACCAAACAAATTTTGGCTGATAACCTTTTAAAGTCTCTTTAGTCCCCTACAGACGAAGTCAAAGGGGACTATAGGTTTGCACTCCGCCAGTCTGTCTGTCTGTCCCACTGTTCCACCTTGGGATAAATGGACCCAATGCAAATTATAGAAATGTAATAGAATTTTAACAAGCCTAGGCTGGTTGGTTTATTGGCAGGGTGTGAAGACTCATTCAATATTTTCTAGATATATTGGACCAGTTTATGATTCTCTGTAAAGATTAAAATGTAATGTTCTAACTTACCCTAAAAGGACAGTTGTTACATAATGTATGCATTTTATCTAAAAGGGCTAAAATTGAAATTTTTGATGCATAGAGCTGGTAACATTTAAACTGATCCTGAATTTCAGCTTTTATACATGTATGTATTGTAATAAAGTTTCAAATTCTGTGTGATCTGGTACCCAAGCTTATTCAGGAAGTACTTATCAGTATGGTACAAATAAAGAACTACAATAAAAGTTTCAAGGGTACCGAAACACATACTAAATGTATTAGAAGAATAAAAATACCCTGTTCTGTCTCGTTTTGAAGGCTAGTACTATATTATATGGCTAAACTTTCAAAGCAAATTCTTGTATGATATTATCTTCTGACAATTATCAAAATAGTTAACATATAAAATGTATGTTACTGTATACAATGGACCAGATTGGTTGTACATGTACACATTTGTGGTATAAAATGAAAAATTCTCAGACATCAATAGCTTTCTTAAAGTTAGTTAATTTCTTGAGACATATATTGAACTTTTGTCTTTTATGAAAAGAAAAAATTAACCTTTATATAATTTCAAAATAAGTGACACAATTTTTACTTTGTTTAATCTGAAATGATTCATACAGACAAATTTATAAAAAGCAGGTAAGTAACTATTTAAAAATGGGAATATGATCAATAAAATTTGTTTCAAATTTGCAAAATTTACAGTCATTTAAAAACCATAAATTTGAATTTTAAAGTTGGGAAGGTTTAAGGGATCCCTCTTGATTTTGCAACCTGTATAGTAAATAATGAATTACTATCAGGACTGATGGACTAAACCATTTAAGTAGTAATAAAGACGGCTTAGAAGAGATAATATCCATGTTGACCTGTTAAAGCTGCTTAAAGCCTCTCTATTATTCATCAGCTATATATATGTACATTAATAAGCTGACTTCCTTATCCACTAAAAGCTCAACTTAAAACTGAATATATTTAACTTTTATAAATTACATTATAAAACAGTTTAACAACATTTGTAGAAGATAATTGTAGTGAATTAGATAAATTTTATGCTTCATCTTAAAATAAAAACTTTATATATAAGTTTGTGTCGTTAAAATTCCAATATTTCTGCTTTATAAGTACCCTTTTTTGGGGTTCATTTGGGAAGAATGTATGCTTTACCCATTAACAAGTACCTATTGATTAAAGAGTAAACATCTAAGAAAGCAATGCTGTAAAAATGAAGAAAAAAAATAACTTAGTTCCATGTCCTTTTACTAGTATATATTTACATATGTGGATCTTTAAGATTTTTATTGACTGTAGACATTATATAAATATGTCTGACTGATGAGTGTATATAAATATAAGTCAAGATTCATCAGGAAGGAATAAAAGATAAACACAAGTTTACATTTCTTGGAGGAATTTCAATAAAAAGTCTTAAAGTGTTATTATTGATGCTTTTGTTACCTATAGTCCCTGTTTGTGCCTCAAGCCCAGTTGGTTTTAAGGTCATGAATGACGTCAATCTACTAGTTATATTATGTTGTAAACAAGAAAAATCTAATGTAATTGTCAATCAGGTTTTTGCCCATCATATTACATTGGTTATTAACTTGTGCTTTAATTAAGAATCAAACCTAAGCTATTTAAACAAACGGAAAAAAAAATTAGGCTATTTTAATGACATAAATGTAACCATTAAATTCCATAATGATTTGATCTGGTCGTAACAATTGATTAAAAATTTCTGCTTATCTTTAATTTTAAAGGTTTGTAAAATGAAGTGAAGTCAATCAGGTGAAAAATAAATGTCTACAAAAAATTATGAGTGATTTTAAATGTAAAAGAAGGTCTTGGTTCTGTTAAAAATATTTTTTACTTCATTTGTAGTAGGGAAGTAGTAAAAAATCTTCCTGGGGGATATCTATGACTTGGTTGATTATGTGAAGTATGATAAAACCCACTTTAAATTGAATAATCAAATAAGGGTATGTCCTTATCCTGTACTAGATACCCCCTATAGAGGACATTGTTTGCATTCATTCCTATCATTGTTGTAACATATCAGATAACATGCAGGTGGATTGAATTAATCTCTAAAAAGTAAAATAGAATAAGAAATACATGTATAAAAAATCTATAGCAGAAAACAACATGTACGCAATGAGCTGTAACTTGTATGCATTGGTATGTGTAGTCAAAAGGTCATGTCAAATTGATTGCAACTGTCAGTTTACTGTAAAGTATTGATATTTCAATAAATTTAATGAGAAAGACACAGAAAATGACTTTTTAATTTTTGTTCTCTTTGAAATTGAGAACATCTGCTTGGTACAAATGCACTTAACCAATATTATCTGTTTGTTGAACTTTGTTCTAACTGTTAAATGTTTAAAAAATGTATGTGAAGGCAGGAAAATTGTGCTTCAAAAGTATCTTTTATTTTTTTGTATCTCCTACAAAACCTGCATTAGAGGATATATTGCAACAAAGACATTAAAAGTAAACTTTAACATATCCAACTCAGCAAGCTGATGAAAGAATTTGCCATTAAAACAGTGAACTTTGATATATACATTGGAAGTTTTTTTTTCAAATAAAACATTTCTTGGTATTCATTCTATAAACCTGATAGTAAAATGAGTAGGAAGGTATACAATGTATATATCTGTGGAGGAGGATGTAATATATATAACTTGTAACTTCAAACAAGATAATTAATCCAAATTGTTTTCTAGCCCTCTTTTACATGCTTTGCATTTTAACTTTTCCCTGTGCGTGTCACACAGGATCATTAAGGTGAGACATTCAGATTTGTCATTGTTTTTCAATATATCCAGCCAATGAATGAACAATGAAAAGATAAACTTTTTATTAAGATAGGGTGAGATTTTTGTATAAGTAAATGTTTATTCATCATCTTCCTGGTTTCTGTTATGGCTTTAACAAATGTCCCTAAATAGAGCCTTGGAAATTAGAAGTTCAAAGATCAAAGAATAAAAGGTTGAAAATCTGTATTACAATAACTGACTTGTACAATCAGTCCATTTTTGTCAGTTTTGAATGTACTAGAAATATAGTATTTTCTCAGGTTCTGTCCTACAAGTTCTCACATCAAAAAGACCGTACATTTCGATTTGAACCTCTTTTTTTTTTACAGAAGATGTACATGTAGAAAATGTACATTATTTACAATTATTAAAGCCATGATTTTAATATCTATGCTTCAAAAATTAAGTTTCCTCAAACTTTTAATCTCGCCTTCAAAAAAATGTCCTGTAGTAACAGATTCATCAATTATTAAAATTGGCAAGAGACATCTCTGTGTCAACAGTTCATATGAAAATAATCTTTCAGTTTTACAGTGGACAATTTAAGTCTGGGCCTGTGGATATTTTTGGTAGCATAGATTATTAAAAAATAAAAGTCTTTTGTTTCATAGCCCTTTGAAGTAGACACGTTCATTGGCTTGAAATAAAAGAGTACACATCCCATAAATGAGATTGCTTGTATTAAATACTGGGTTAAATCATTAAGCTTTCAATGATTGTGAACCAAAATTGATCCATGATGTTTACAAACATATCTTGTGTATTTACTGAATCAAATATGTTGTGAACTGGTTGCATCCGGTGAGAGAAGTTTACATGTCAAGTAGCAGCTTCAATGAGTGATCTTTTCTAATGGAGGAAAATTGCACAAAAATTCATTGTAACATTGATATTTCGCCCTATATGTATATGATTTGATTGGAAAGTTGATGAAATCATATTTGTGTTTGTTTTCTCTGTCTCAATTGACCTTTTGGGTAATGTTATTGGGGGAATATAGTTTCATATGTGTATTATATGCACAGATTTGTGTTAGCTCTGAAACCTGTTAAAGCTAAGCAATGACACAATTGCAACTTCGGCAAAAAAGAAATAAAAGTATTCACTAAATTTATGAAAGTGCTCAGTCCAAAAAAAATTTGAAGAAAAAATGTGAAATTTTCAAAAAAACATGAAATGTTCCTTCATTCATATTTGGCTAATTCAACAAATTCTCAATTTGCCCCAGTTTGATGACTACTTCATTGAAATTCTGAAAATTCTTATTTATTTATGAAGTATTCTCTTTTCATGAAATATATCATTATTCCAGGCCTTAAAACATGCTATAAAATTCTGTATGAAGCAGAAATGAAAATAACTTTTAAGAAAAAAGATTTTTGTTAGTCAATAATGCATTACAGTTATGTATGCATATTTATCATTAAAAGCATTGTAACAAAGGTTATTTGTTAGTTAATGTGTTTTATAACGGACTGGAAAACATTTAGAAATTTGAATGTAAGTAGAACAGACAGGGGTAACATATAGGGTAGTATAAAAGCTTAATTAGAAATTGTTCCCATTTCATTTCTGTTTTGCTCTGAAATTATGGTTTATACAGAATTTTGTTTTGATTACCTAAGTACCAGTAAACATTAAGAATTTGAAACTCTTTGAAACAAAATACTTTACCGAATACAGTTAAAAAAAACAGCACAATTACAAGTCTAAATTTGACTTCTTCTGTGTAGGTGTTTGTCGACAGCGGAAATTTGAACGAAAACTGTTAGATAACAAAATTGACATCTTATTTTAGTATGCATCAATTTATTTTTGGCCGACAATAGTACACTTGATTAGTAATTCATCATTTCACTTAGTTTTTATCAGTAAAATGATCTGTTATTAATTTTGCTGATAGTTTAGATTAATTTTAGGAAATAATAGTTTAAATTTATTTTACAAGATAATTACATCGCCTACATCTATAAAATTTTCTTACAAGATCATTTTTTTGTATCTCTATACAAAAATAAAACTGTGTGGAAATGTTTACATTACTTAAATTTATTTATTTTGTTTAATTTTTTAATGGTGGAGATGAGGATTTTAAAATGACTTATAACCAGAGGGTCTTTTAAAATCCAGCATTACAGGCACCTGTTTCTCCGAACAGTTAAATAGATTATATATGACTTCAGTCATGCTAAATACTTGTAAGCATTAGTTTGAAAATGAAAGGAAATACCTTAGAAATGACTAATTTATTACAAATGTAGGCATGTTATTGTACAAAATTGTTGTGGTCAAATTGAATCATTAGATTTTGGATACAATTATGTTGCTTTAAGACAACCTTTTGAATCACCTGATGTTTGCAGCAAACATTTGCAGTTGATGAATTTTATAAAGCTACATATACGTAAATGTTAGAATGTGGGTGGAAACATTTAAAAACCCACATTTTCCCCTTTCATTTGTAAATGTGCAGTGTAATTAACTACATGCATACTGATAGGTAATAATGATAAATTACTAAATAAGTGAATAATTATGCTTGTAGTTGAACAAAATCCATATCGTATTTCAATTGGTCATTTCAATTTAAATTCTGTCAAAAAATATATTATGCTGGTTGAAAACAAAACTGCTCTTGAGAAAATTTGAATTAATCAGACAAGTTGCTATGACGTGTAAATATGGAAAAGGTTGAAGAGTATTTTCTTTGATTGATGATAATTAAATATATGAGTGCAATCATATAAAGGTATAATTCCAATGAATTGTAATAAATATTGCCTAATGCCAGTAATGGAAGGTTACTAATACCATTAATGAATTATTGACTAGTCAGCATTATGGTACTTGACCATTATCGATGACGGATAGGTTGAATAGGTTAAGGCCTTGTATTGTACTTTAATTCTGTAAAAAGACATCAGTTAAATAACTGAGCTATCTACAAGTTACAAGGCTCAGTTTGGAAATAAACCAGAAAACAATATTCCAGTGATAAAATGAGAGACAGGAATAAGTTTACTTTTCTTTCTGTTGCTGTACTATGAAGCTTGTACATGTACATTTTTGTACATCAAACTTCAGTTCTTTTTAGAAATATTCAAATTTTATATGGAAGATTTAAAAATCTTAATGATTAAAATGCCTTCCAGAGAACACTGAATAAAAGTATCCTGGTACCCTGATGATAGAATTATCATCCTGATGATAGAATTATCATACTTTCTTGGTACACTGATGATAAAATGCTTGTTTATTATAACAAGGGAATTGATTTTAATATAGTATGCATTTTGAATAATTTCCATGTTAAGAAATAGAGAAATGTAATAACATTGGTACCCGTCTTTGTTCTTTCAGGCTGAGAACTTACTGCTAGATGCCAACATGAATATAAAAATAGCAGATTTTGGTTTTGGAAATTTCTACAAAAAGAATGAACATTTGTCTACATGGTGTGGCAGTCCTCCATATGCTGCTCCAGAAGTATTTGAAGGGAAGAAATATTTGGGACCTCAGATTGATATATGGGTAAGCAGTTTGTCTGACGTACATGATTAAATATTATTACGTCAGTGGTGGTGTTTATTTGGCCTCTAGGTACGATCTGACAATTTGTAATTAAATAATGTTGTCGCATAGTTGTCTGTGAATACAAAGAAGGTTAGCACTGACCTACATTTATACAAGTAGTACACATTTTTATTGCTTTGACAAATTATAAACATCATATTCTCTGAATCAGATCTTTATAAACAATAGTTTTTGAAAGGGTTGAGATTTTATGTTTCTTAATCAGGTGTTCTGTATTGCATATTGTACAATTTTGTAAGATTTTGTACAAAATGTTAAAATGTCAATATTGCACATAATAAAGACATGTTTGTAGATTATATATATTTTTATTTATTTTAGAGCTTAGGAGTAGTGCTGTATGTATTGGTATGTGGTGCTTTACCATTTGATGGTCAGAGTTTACAGATTTTACGTGATAGAGTTCTATCTGGGAGATTTAGAATTCCTTATTTTATGACTACAGGTAAAGAACTAGGAATTATACTGCACATGTACATACACTCCCCAGAAAAAGTCCAATAACTTGAAAACAACAAAAAATTTAAATCATTCATACATTCCTAAATACATGTAATAAGAATTTATGACAGGCTATTGTAATAAATATATGTCAAGGTCTGGACAATTATATAACATCTTTTAATGTGTGTTTGGTGCAAGAATGTTGTATATGGCTATCAACTGAGATTTTATCATTTAGGATTATTTATGAGCTATCATAACTAGATATTTCTATAGTTTGAATTTGTAAAATATTTTTTCCGCCTTTTCAATCAGGTTAAAGAAATAAAATTGACTTAAATCACAAAAGAGTGGTAATTGATATGCTATATCAGTGATTTCACACACAAGAGTAATTTCTATTTAGAATCTACTTTAAAATAAGCGATGTTTTTGATGAAATATAAATAACTATTATCAATTATTTTACATGCAGAATTAATTACCTGGCTCTCACAACTATTTTTGGAAAAAAGGTGTAAACATTTCTTGAACTCTCTCATGAATGTGAGTGTGTGCGTGACTTTTTCTTAACATCATTTAAAATGAATACTAATTAATATTTAGTCAGCTTAGTTATTGATAGAGGATTTCATAGACACGTATTTTCATCTTTAATCCAGCTACTTGAATCACTTGAATGCTGAAAGATACATTATTTCATAAAAGGGTTAAAACATATTTTGTTGATATCAATATCCTGTTTTATTTCATGTGAACTTGCATTATTGCAATCTGAATTCCAACATAAGCAGAAAAATTAAATATTCATTGCCTTATTTTAATGAATTGCAGATTGTGAGAATTTGATTAGAAGAATGTTAGTGCTGGACCCTAACAAAAGATTTTCTATAAATCAAATTAAGAAGCACAAATGGATGCAATCTGAAGAAGGACAGCCCAAATCTACCCCTCCTAGTCCCATGTTGGGGATAAATGCAAAGTTAGGGGAGTTCAACGAACAGATACTTAGACTTATGCAGAGTTTAGGTATAGATCAACAGAAAACAAAAGAGGTATGGTTTACTTAAAGCATTTATCATACATTTTCTACTTACTGGTAAGAGCAAGGTGATAGGAGTTTAAAGACATGTCTATTTACATATCCAAATGTACTGATGAGACATATAAAACCCTGAAGTGTTGATTTTATCCCTCTTCAATGTACATGTTCACCAAAAATGTATTTGTATTGGGTAAAAATGAAGCAGTTCAGTAGTCACAATGGAAAGAACACATGGTAAGGGATAGTCACATTTAATACAAGACAACACAACCTAAGGAAAATTTAACAATATCAAATGTATAATAATTTTTTTCATTCATGCATTGAACCTGCAGTGGAAATTTTTATATCACAAATACTTCTGTTTATTTAGAAAAAAAACCAACTCGAAATGAAAAGGTACATGCTGTATCCAAGAATCAATATTTCAAACATTGAGTAAAGTGAAATTTGATCACCTGACTTGTTTTAGTCATTGCATGATAACATTGAACCATTAAGTAACTTTAGTAGCAATGTTTATAGTTAATATGAATATGTTTGTGTAACTTGATACAAAACTGTATCACACAGATGTACAAAGGGAAGAATGTTATAATTATTACACAGAAATGTATGATATTTTGAATTTCCAGCAAAGAAAATTTACTGAAAATAAAGAAGGTTAGACTTATAATGTGAAAAAATGACAACATATTCCATATTCAATAGTTGAAATGGATTTTATGTTACTGAAGATGTTTACAAATTCTTTAGAAATAGATTTAAAACAAAAAGCAATAGTATTAACAAAAACTTATAAATAGTATTGTAATATGAACTTATCTCTACAATAATTGTTTTTTAGGCATTAGAGAAGGACTCTTATGACCATTACACAGCAATATATTATCTTCTTATGGATAGATTAAAACAACATCGAAGTAGTTTTCCTCCTGAAAACAAAATAGATGCTCGTCACAGGCGACCTAGCACTATTGCAGAACAAGCTATGTCAAGAGTTGTTCCTTCTAGTCAAACCGGTGTTCAAACTACAGAGACTGAAGCACATAACACAGCTAGTTCTTGGCGGCAGCCTAATCCTTATGAATCTACTTTTAATCGTGAAATGGACGTTCCGACGCCTCACGGTGTAACAGGCTGCATGGTTGACACGTTACCTCAGCCATGTGTGAAATCATACATATCAGGTCATATGATTACTACATCGATCGATGAAGGAGTTGAAGCAGATATTTTAGAGGATGAAGATGATGAACAGTCTAGTAAGGATCAGTTTGTACCTGATGGATTTGGCATTGGTCTGATTCCTAGTTCTGCTTACGGTGATTTGTCTCATATGCCCACATCCAATCAAAGTAACACTAGTGGATCTCCGTTCGCAAGTTTTGATTCATCATTAGGATCAGATATTATGTCTAGTTTACAATCATGTGCACAGGCCACTGGTACTGTTGTACAGGAGAATGAATCGTCAACTGGAAGTGAAGAGGAACAAAATGGAGAAGATCGTAGTCAAACAAGATCTCCTGTTCACTTTCGTGAAGGTAGAAGAGCTTCTGATGGACTTGTTGCACAGGGTATGTTTGCATTCAGACAGTTAAGACAGGGCATGCGAGCCCCAGGAATGGTTGACATACAACAAGAACAAATGCATGTACAAAACATGTACGAGCAGTACAATATCCCGCAATCTCAGCAAGAACAATCAATAGATGGTGCTAAACCTAGTCAAATTGTACGGCCCCGTCCACTGATGAAAAGAATGAGTCTACCATCTGAGACATTTGATATTCAACCTCATAGGTTATTAGCTTTGAAGCAGTCTCTTCAAGTAGAAAGGCAGATTGACGGGTTCAGCAACAAGCCTTTACAACAACAATTACTTCAACATAGATTTCAACAACAACTTCACTGTCCGTTGCAAAATCAGTTTCAGCAATTACAGATTGATCCTCAGTATGCACAAGGTGACCAGCAACAAACACTTACCTACATGCCTGTATCTATGCCTCAGAGGTTGACCACCAGTGAATTAAATCAACTAGGTCGACCTCAAGTCATCAGGAAAATATCTTACAAACTTGCACAACAGCAGCCTGTGGATCCGAGTGAAGAAGTGAAGCAGGCAGTGGAGCATAAACTGTCATTTAGTTCTACACCTACCTATCAGACCTCATCATGTCCAACTACTCCTAGTCGTAAAAATGCTTTTATTCCCCAAGGTGTAGACTTAGCTGTGTTACAACATCAGTTAATGATGCAGCATGAACAGAACAAACAGTTTAATGAACAGAAACATGGTGATTCTCAGATGGACTCCTCTCAGTATAATCCGGCCTATAATTATGTTGTTAATCCTCAAGGACTAGAGTATCAGATCACTCAAAATGCTCCTCCATTTCAGGAGAATCAGTCCACCATGGGGGGCAACTCTGATCCTAGTCAAATGGCTTATGTTGAAGAAGACATGGATATGTCATAGCTTTGTCTCCTCATTTTGTAATTGTTCATTATTCATTAAGAATGAGAAAGTAAAACTGATTTATTGTTTTCCTTAACCTGCACCAAATGTTCAGATCTGCTGTCCGGTACCTAATTATTGTTTTTTATAAATTCTGCTGATATGAAAGCAAGAATTTCACATAATTTAAACTAAAAGTAAAGTCAAATTTTGCTGATGTGATTCCATGTTATTCAAAAAACTGAATTTTACCATGTTCCCCAATATTTTCGGACTATGAAATTTTTTGTTATAACAAACCATGTTTTTCACTGTTGTTAAATATCCTCAGAATGAAAAGAGTTCAAAATTATTTTGTAAACTTGGTCAGGAAATGGAGAACAATGTATGTTTTATTTATAGTATTTTATCATTCAAAATCTTCATGATTTGCTGTCATTTATCATTATCATTAGAAGTTTTCATATTTTTCAAACTCATGTTGTTATGGATACCACAATCAGATGAGTGGATTTGAATTGTTAATAGGATTTTTTGTATGATTTGAAGAGTAAAGACATTTGTTGATTTTGTTGACAATATGCCTCCTACAGTTGTATTCAAACTAATCAAACACATTTTTCCACCTCTGTTACAAATTCAAATAAGTCATATAAAAAATCTTGTATTTTTCTCTTAATTTTTTTTTAAATTCCTTACATTTTTTTTTAAATGATTTTGTCTGTTTTTTTAATCATTAGGGGTAAACAAAATTGCATAAACAAAGGAATCGAAAGTCAATACTTATTAGGAATTCTGGAAAATATCCTTCAAGAAAGAAAAATGATGTGATATGTTTCTTTAACTTTTTATGACGACCTATAACATCATTACATGTTTAAGAAAGTTCTAATCTCTTAATAATTGTTAGGTGTTTTGTTTGTCATTCAGATTTTATTTCGTTATTGCAAAAACTCTAAAACAATTGAGAAAAAAATGTTTTAATGAATCAAATTGGTGTTATGTAAAAATTGAGGATAACTTACTATTTTTAAATTTAATTTGGTTGGTATTTCGTTTGTATTTAGAATACCAATTAAAGTTGTATGAAATCATCCTACCTTGTGACTGCATGGTAAATGTTGGTCACAAATGAAATTTGTGGTTCTAGTCATTTTGAATTCATTGACTTCTCTTGTAGAAAAAAAATGCTATTTGTTGAATATTATTTTGTTCTATTTAATGTTTGTAGTCATTCCGTGCTATTTTGTTGTAATATTAGTTCTTTATATGTTCATGTATTTTGTATATTTTTGTTATAATTTATGAATCAAAAGCATTTTACTTAATTGTATTTTTTTAATGATTTTGGTTCTCTATTCTACATGTATTGCTGTTTGACAAAATGGGAAATGTAAAATTGCATTTTTGCATGGTAAAAAAAAATTTTCAAGACTTGAGATTGGTCATGCTGGTAGAGATGATAATGTTTTTTTCATGGTATCCAGATATATAAAATTTTATCATAAAACCGTAATGATTATTTGTCTTTTATTACCATTTCAATGGATTTGACAAAAAAAGTTTTAACATACATGCATTTGTTACAGTCTGTCAATTTAGATATTTTTTAACTTATTTTCCAAAAAACACTTGCTTTTCTACCACTTTTATGTCCTTTAAGAAATTTATAATGACACACTATTGTCAAAAAAAGAGATTTATTTCAGTTTAATAGCCTGACATAGATTGGCTGTTGATGCCTATTGTTGTTTTGTTATGGTTATGCATGATATGCAAAATGTCATGGAGTTATGAGTTCATGTATATATGAAAACAATAAATCCGAGTTTCAACAAGGTACAAAATTTCAATTGGTTTGTAATGCAAAAAAATCTACAGGGAAAATAATAATGAAATACTTGACAATTTTTGAAGTGAGATAATTTGGGAAACAAATAAAGATTTTATACTAAAGGAAGAGGAAAATGTGGCATTACAAAGTTGTGAAAAATTGGCATCACAATATTATTCAGAATTTTGCTACCAAAATTGAAAAAACCCAAATTGCACAATTTCACTGTTGTAATTTTGGCTCTTAACATATAGGGAAAATTATTTTCTCTTGAAATTTTTGCACATATGTTGAACCCAGTTCCTCAAGTAAATCTCTGATGAAACTGACAATATCCTAGCTATTGTTCAACTGTTCTTGTATAAATGTTGCTAGAGAAAATGAATTTTGACCATCAATCCTTGTGTATTTACAGTAAAAAGAAATCTGCAAATAGTTTTGAAGTGGTTGTATAATTCTGTCTTAAATCAATTAAATATTCATTTTCTTTATAAAGATTTTTTATAGAGAAGTTTAGGAAAATATATTTTGTTATTAAATAATGATGCTTTTAAATGACATGTGTAGTTAAAAAAAATGTTTAAAAATTTCCCATTTTGCAAATGTGATTATAACAGTAATTGAACCAATGTTATGTCTAAATATTTTTAAACTTTTAAATTTCCTGTCTGATATATGACAAAAGGGAAGTAATAACTTCAAACAAATAAAATATTTTTGGTTCAATTTTTCATTGATTTTACAAGAATGCCTTTCAGAAAAAAAGTATGCATATATTAATGTATAAAAGCTTGTAAATTATTTTGTAGTCATTCCATTATTTATTGATGTTTCATCAGGGATAAAAAAAGAATTGTTTAACAGCTTATAAACTACTTTCTATGTATATAACAAAGATTGTATACACTCAATAATACACCAGTATTGTTTTCAAAGTGCCTAAATGGTGCAACCTGTCAAGAGATTGCCATGTTTAAATGTTGGATTCCATGTTTAAAACAAACCTAGAATGTAATAAATGGTAGGGAAAATAATTTTTTTTTTATTTATTCTAGACCATACAACTTTTATTTTTATCCTCATGTTAAAATTTACTTAGAGCAACAGCTGAGAGAATAAAGGCTGATTAAAATGAGGAGTTAAATTTCTGAAAAAGTAATTAAGCAATTGAATACAAATCTGAGTCTTTATTTAAATTTACATTATTGTTGCAGAAATATAAAGGGAATTTAAATCATGAAAAAAAACTCAAGTGTATCAACTGGCATTTAGACCAGAAAATTTAATATTACTTCCTGGTCTTGTACAATAGTTAATTGTTAAATGGTTTAAGCAATATTATGATGTTCAGCATTTCAATTGGTCTGCACTTAATTTTACAGAGCAAAACCTGAATTTACCACTTATTTCTATACTCTTGTTTGAATGAATTGTGTGTGTGAGGGGGTTAAATTGGTGCATCTTAGTTTTAGTGTGTTACAAGATTTGATATTTGCTATATGTTATTCTTTGATAGTTTCTTACACAGCTTTAACCTTTTAATATCAGTTACTGAATTTATAACTTAGTAATACCTCTAACATTTTATGATCCATTTTGCAGCAAATTTTAGTTCATTTCATTTAATTCTGTTTGTTTTTAGATTCGGTTCCTTGATGACTATTTTATACCTGTTTTACTCAGATAACTGTTTCCATTCGATATTGAATATTTTCAGTTTTTATGGAGTAATGTGTCAAGCAAAATTTTGGAAGTATTTTTAGTATACAGAATGATTTTTTATGGAGGATATAAGCAAAGGTGGATCATTATACATTTGAACATTTTAATATCATGGTTCCAACAGTAGTACAATGATAATCATAATTTGTTGTGTTGCTTTAGAGGGGTTGTATCCCCTTAAATGTAAATTTATTATTGTTGATGCACAAAATTATGGCAAATAAATTTATCATGCAATGTATTGTTGCAGGAATAAAATGTTGAATATATTTGTGTTTTTATAGTTATTCTAGAGTAAAGATTTGGCTGTTTTGGGGAACTTTGCTATTTGATTGAACTTCGAATCTTGAACATCAGTCTGTATAGAATAGTGCAGAGTGTTGGTTTTGTGAGTTTTCCAATATTTACTTCAGAGCCCTGATTGATGGCAGTGCTTCTGTACTGGTTTCCTTTGCCCAGCAATAAAACTGTTACAGTAGTATTTTACTGTTGTGTTGTTGGTGATGAAGAAGGCAAATTAAATGCAAACTCAAAATCAAAGTACTTTTTAAGGCACACTCTTCAAAAGACAACCATCAATACAATAATCAAAAAGAGGGTTAAAAAAATCATATCTATAGGCTAATTTGGGAACAGCCTCGTCATGACAGTGGTCTATATAATTAAATAAATTTTTAAAAAAATAGAGACATGGTATGATTGCCAATGAGATACTGTAGACTCATTATTAATCCCTTACACCAATTATTGTGGATGTCTTCGACATTGAATTTAACAAAGAACAAATTTTCTATATTTTTATGCCCCCGCTGTAGTGGAGGGGGCATTAAGTTTTACCCTTCTCCATCTGTCTGTAAATTGGTTTCCGTTCTCTAACTTTAGTTTGCCTCAACCAAATGTTATGAAACTTGAACACAATGCTTATTACCACTAAACACAGATCAAGTTTGAATTTTTGTTGCGTTACTTTTACCTTTCTAGAGTTATGCCCCTTTACAAATGGAAAAATTGCTGAAATTTTCATTTCTGTTCTCAAACTTTAGTTGGCCTTAAACAAATGTTATGAAACTTATGTGCAATGCTTATTACCACAAAACACGGATCAAGTTTGAATTTTGGTGGCCTCACTTTCACTGTTCTGAGTTGTGCCCCTTTTACAAATGGAAAAATTGCCAAATCCTCGTTTTTATTCAATAACTTAAGTCTGCCTCTACCAAATGTTATGAAATTTATACACTATGCTTATTACCACAAAACTTAGATCAAGTACAAATTTGGGTAGTGTCACTTTTACCATTCTTGAGTTATGTCCCTTTATAAGGTTATATGCAAGCGGGGGCTAGACCTGTGTCCCATGGACACATTCCCCATTTATTTTATCCAGACTTCCTCAAAACCAGGAAATAAAATACACACAAAAATAGAATCTTCATCAATCCTGGAAAAATAAATGAATCCACAGTAGGTATCCACCAAGACATAAAAAAGGATATAAATATCTAGACCATTTGCTGGTCCAGAGAAAACAAAATTCCAAATAAATAATTCATTAAACATTCATTTCAAAAGGGATTTTGCAGATGAAATCAAAAGGAATGAAAGCATTGAATTGAAGAGTAATTTCAAGTTATAACAAACTGAGAAAGTCTATTGAATAAGTAGACGATTGTAGACCCTTAAAAATTGACAAATCAAAATGAGGGTGTAATATGATTAACAACAAATGATGGCAAACAGTCCTACCAAGTATGACGGCTTTCTGTCAAATGGTCTCGGAGGAGTTACATTCACAAGGTGTAATTGTCACAATACTAAAAAAAATTTAGTCAAAAACCCTTTACTCCTGTAAAAATAACTGGACCAAAATGAAGGTATTTAGTCAACTACACATGATTGCAAACACTACTACTAAGTATGAGAGCTTTCTGTATAACGGTCTTGGAGGAGTTGCTGGGTTTACAATACTCCAACTAATGGTTAAAGTCCTGTAACTCTGGTGAAAATGGTCAACTTCACATGATGGCAAACAAAAGTATACAGTATAATAAGAGCTCTCTGTTAAATAATATGAAAAGAGTTACTTTCACAATGTGTTTTGTCTAAATACTCCAAAATAAATAGACCTCTCAACTTCAGTAAAAATGGAGGTATAATATGGTCAACAACTCATGATAGCAATCAAAAGTATCAAGTATGAGGGCTTTCTTTCAAATGGTCTGAGAGGAGTGGCGTCCACAAGGTGCAATTGTTACAATACTAATAAAAATGGTTCAAGTCTCATTGCTCTTGTAATAAGGGTCTTTTCCAAATGGTGGTACAATATGATTATCTACACATGATGGCAAACTCTCCTAACAAGTATGAGAGCTTTGTGTAAGAGGAGTTTTGTTCACAAGGTGTCATTGTTACAATACTCCAACAAATGGTGCAAGTCCCATAAATCCCATAAAATTATCAAATCAACCTGAGGATATTGTAGAGTTAAGGGAAATGATGACAAATAATCCTACCTAGTATGAAAGCTGTAGGTCAATTGGTCTCAAGAGTACTGAAGTTGACATACTTAAGATGTCTTGTCTAGTGAAATATTGGATATTTTTTTTAAATAGCCACAAGTTAAACTCACTGGTAATGTATCATAGCTACTGAGGAACTGACCTCCTGAAAAATTAACCGGACTACTGGATATGAAATTGAGGTCAGGGCTGTATGAAATATTTCAGACTGCCATATGTAAGCCTCAAATCTGTGTCCTATTCTATAATAGGCCATAGATGTCACAAATCTATGTCGCTTTTTATTTCTCACATGTGTCTGTCTCCTTTTCAACAATGTCCTATGTGTTGACGTCAACATCACAGAGGAAAGTTTTTTGTAGTCAAAGACATCATTATGACTTTTATATTTGCATTAAATCGATATCAGTTCAGGTCATTAAAAAGCTAATGTGTGTTAAATAATGCACATGGAAGCTAACAGTTTCTTGCAAGAAAAAAAAATTAATAAAATGCTCCGCAGGGCGCAGCTTGATACGACCGCAGAGGTCGAACCCTGAACAGTTGGGGCAAGTATGGACACAACATTCAAGCTTGATACAGCTTTGCATTTGGATTGTGATTAAATATTTGACACAGCATAGGTTTCTGACACAGAATGAATGTGGTCTAAGAACTTAAAAATTTTAAATTGGACATTCACCTATTATGGTCCAATATCCAAAATCTAAATACATGGTTAGATTCAGCATATCAAAGAACCCCAAGAATTCAATTTTTGATGAAATCAAACAAAGTTTAATTTTGGACCCTTTGGACCCCGATTTGGACAAACTTGAAAACTGGGCCCATAATCAAAAATCTAAATACATGTTTAGATTCAGCATATCAAAGAACCCTAAGATTTCAATTTTTGTTGAAATCAAACTAAGTTTAATTTTGGACCCTTTGGACCTTAATGTAGACCAATTTGAAAACGGAACCAAAAATTAAGAATCTAAATACACAGTTAGATTCGGCATATCAAAGAACCCCAATAATTCAATTTTTGATGAAATCAAACAAAGTTTAATTTTGGACCCTTTGGACCTCAATGTGGACCAATTTAAAAATGGGGCCCAAAATCCAAAAACTAAATACATGGTTAGATTCAGCATATTAAAGAACCCCAAGAATTCAAGAATAAAACCCCATTGAAATTGGTCAAGAAATAAGCAATTTATACGAAGTATCTTCTTTTGCACAATACTGTGCAATTAAATATTTCTTGCTATTGCGCAATACTGTACAATTGACAATTTCTTGCTATTGCGCAATATTGTGCTATTGGAAAAATTTTACAATACTTGCTATTGCGCAATACTGTGCAATTGAAGATTTCTTGCTATTGCGCAATACTGTGCATTTGAAGATTTCTTGCTATTGTGCAATACTGTGCAATTAAAAATTTCTTGCTATTGGACAATACTTATTATATAATAATTTACACATCCTGTTTGGTGTGTATCTCCTACCATATCATTATTATTTGCTTTTAAATATAAATCAGAAATAACCAACTTAAAATGGAAAATTTTAAAAGAAAAAAAAAGGAAAAAAAGAAAAAAAAGGAAAAAAAAAAATCCCCCCCCTCAAATTTTTTGAACCCCCTTATGATTCATCACCCCCAAACTCAATCCCAGCCTTCCCTTTGTGGTATGGTACCTTGCACTACAATTTCAGAGAGATCCATACACTTGAACACAAGTTATTGTCTGGAAACTAGAAAAATGCTTATTTTTGGCCCCTTTTTGGCCCCCAATTCCTAAATGTTTCGGCAATTACCCCCAAACTCAAACCCAGCTTTCCCTTTGTGATATGGAACCTTGTAGTACAATTTCAGAAAGATCCATACACTTACACACAAGTTATTGTCATGAAACTAGAAAAATGCTTGTTTTTTGCCCCTTTTTTGGCCCCTAATTCCTAAAATTTTGAGGCAATTACCCCCAAAATCAATCCCAGCATTCCTTTTGTGATATGGAACCTTGTGGTACAATGTCAGAGAGATCCATACACTAACACACAAGTTATGTCTGGAAGTTACAAAAATGCTTATTTTTGGCCCCTTTTTGGCCCCTAATTCCTTTACTGTTGGTACCATAACCCCCAAAATCAATCCCAACCTTCCTTTTGTGGTATTGAACCTTGTGGTAAAATTTCATAGAGATCCATTCACTTAAACTAAAGTTAGAGTGCGAAAACCAATGTGTCTTCGGACGACGCCGGACGACGACGACGACGCCAACGTCATACCAATATACGACCACAAAAATTTTTTTGCGGTCGTATAAAAACAAGCATTCTGAGAGTATTGCATGGCAATACATAGTCCTCTACCTTTTAAAAATTCATTGTACTGGAACAAAATGCTAAACTTGTCATGATAAAACTATATACCAATTATCAAATCAATATCTTCAAGCATGACGAAAAAAAGTGAGGAAAACTGATTATTTGAGTGAATTTTCTAAGTCCAAGGACATAACTCTGCACAAAATCATCAGACTGGAACAAAATTCGAACTTGATTTGTAACTTGTCATGATAAAACTATATACCAATTATCAAATCAATATTTTAAACATGAGGAAAAAAAGTGCAGAAAACTGATTATTCGAGTGAATTTTCTAAGTCCAAGGACCACAACTCTGCACAAAATCATCAGATCAGAACAAAATTCAAACTTGATCTGTAACGTGTCATGATAAAACAATACACCAAATATCAAATCAA